TTCTCAGCTGGAACCATGAGTCTACATTGAGGATGAGAAGGATGTTTTACTGGTTTTAGTTTAATGACCTACTAAAACGCTTGCCTCTCCAGTTAAAAGCTAGATTTTTCACAAGTGTCCTTCTATTTTTCTTCAGACTACCTTTCAGTGTCATTAAGTTTAGAAGTAAAGTACTTGTAGTAGTATAGTAAGTTTGCACAAGTTCAAGAAATTGAAGTGCATTTGAAACAAATTTTCAATTTCTGAAATAATTGTGGACTGGATTCCATGTGTTTGTTCATCAGTTTAATAAATCTCAAGCAGTCATTTTTATTCCCTTTTCCTATTAACTGCACTGCTGAACACAAAAGCTGTGTTACGTGCAGAATGAGTGAGCTTATCCATTGTAGAAAGGAGTTATGTTTGGTATCTAAAGAACAATAACAGTTTGCTGCCTGACTGATCAATGCTGGATCAAGTTCACATTCCCAAGCTTCCACTCTCCCACATACGTACACAGGAGGCAGAAACATAGCAAACAGAGGGAGGACAGGCCCTCTTTTATGTAGAAATGTTGAGCTTAGACTTGTCTAATAAGGACACAGCTGGGCTTACATAGCAATAAACATAAGTTTTAATTATTGCTTGTAAAAACATCAGAAAAAATGCACAGAAGTTAGCACTAATTAATTTTTAGCCTGCTCATTGTTTTCTTTACTCAATGGAAACAAACCATAAAGGTTTAAAATATCTTTCATGCTACATTGACAGATTTTTTTTCTAGTTTTTGTAGTTTTTTTTCTATTAGTGTATAATTAGGAAAGAGTAGCCTTTGAGATATCTGAAACCCTCCAGTTTCAAATTCCTTTTAAGTAATTTTAGTGAATTGGAAGGGTGTGAAATAACAAGAAGTCAAATGCTACTCTAGGAAACAATATTTGAGATCTTTTTAGTTCAGAAAGAAAAAGAATTGGGCCTCAAACTGAGGTAAAAATCTTATGTGATAGGAACAAGTTGCTGTATACCCTCCAGAGTGGTCTATGATTTTTAAAAGAACACACATTTTACTTCCTGGAATTTTTTCCTAGGCTTTTAAAAAAACTTGTTTGTAGCTGAAAGGAGTGAATACGTGGGGAAGATATATTGTAACATGTACTCTGTATCTGAAATACATGCAGCCCTCTGTGTGCTGACCTGAAAAACTGTGATTTGTGGATTAACGTGTAGTGATTCAGTCAGAAGCTCAGAGTGATCCTGAGGGTTCAAATGCTGCTGCTGTATTTCCAGCTGGCTAGACTTGAGAAGGGAAGTTCTTGCTTTTGAGCCCTATCCTTTTTTTCAGACACTGCAGAAATGCTGAGTTACTGAATACTTTTTGAGAGCAGATGATAACCAAGTTTTTGTAACAGTCTTCATTCCATCTCCACCAGTTCATTGTCTTCCACACAAGTCAGCATGAGCAATGTTGAGATATTTCTCAGTTTATAGTACCTTACTTATTCCTTTTGACTTGGTGATGCGTTAGAGTCAGATTGAAGACACAGATGTTTATCACCTCTTCAAAAATGGAAAATAAGTGATTTTTCTAAAACTTATGCCATGTCAATAAAGAAGGAATGCTTTATCTATTCTGTCTGCTCCTTTCTAAGGTCAACGAAGAATTTAAATGCTGAAATGAGAATGTCTGAAGAAAGATAGTTTTGAAAAGGCTACAGAGCCAGTATGTGTCATGGTTCAGTTTATGGTTAATTGTCCTTAACATATGGGTCAGCAGTATATCCTGGCCAGAGGGCTGGAGAACTTTTGTTTTGAATATGTTTCATTAGTAAAGCCATCAGAAGTATTTCTGATCACTTCAGTGGACCAGTAAAACTCAAATTTCAATACCTCTGGAAGTTGTATTTTATTTCTTCAACAAGAAATTCAACAAACAAGTGAGGTTCTATCAAGCTAGATCCAGGCCTTAGCCCCTCACACTCCCAGCAACTGCAAAAAATTAACTGTCTTGGCTGAAATTAGGACATTATCCACCCATTATTCTTTACCATTTATATCACGCCCAGATCCTACACCGTCCAAATGTATACACATACACAAGCACAGGTATAATTTCTGTATGGATATCTTCCAGGGCAGGAGGGCTGGTGTGCTGCTGGGGTTACAGTCTGCATCAGAAGCTCATGTCTGTTAGAGCAGTCCATACTCCTTTTTCATGGTAGCTCTGTTTGTGTCAGACACTGGCAGTGTCATCCAGCAACCAATATTACACTGTTCAACATTACAGACTCTTATCACCACAAAATCAAATCCCCCTGAGGTACACATCATGTTTCTTGGTCCCTCTGCATTACCTACCAAGTGCACTCAGGTCCTTGGGCAAAAATAATCTCAAGGATGGGTTTACCTTTGCTTGAGGCAGGACTAATCCAAGCTGTATTCCCTAGAACTCTTCTTGTGTGCATTATGGGGAATGTTTATCCCCTCCTACAGTACATGAGGGTTTTGACTGGGCAGGGACAGCTCTACTGGTAGAGCCTGGGGTGTTCACTAAACCAGGCAGCCTTGGCTTAATGTAGAGCCCAATGTTTGAAGGTCCCACCACCCTTTGCTTGCAATGTGTTTTTTAACAGTCCATTGTACCGTTCAATCTTCCCAGAGGCTGGCAAGTGATAGGGAATATGAAATATCCACCTAACACTGTGTTCCTTGGCCTGTTGTCCAGGAGGTTGTTTTGGAAATGAGTTCTGCTGTCTGAGTCAGCTCTCTCAGGGGTGCCAGGTCACCACAGGACTTGCTTTCCAAGGCCCAGGATGGTGTTCCAGGCAGTGGTGTGAGGCGCAGGATACTTCTCCAGCCATCCAGTGGCTGTTTACAAGAACACGTAGCACTTGCCTTGGCAGGCCTGCAGGAGTGTGAGGTAACTGATCTGCCAGGCCTCTCCCTATTTTTACTTGGGCCATCGTCTGCTGTACCACAGAGGCTTTGCTTGGCCTGCCTGATCCCAGCACGTTTCACAGTTATGGATAACCTGGGATAGAGGGTCCATGGGCAAGCCCATCCCTCAGTCACGAGCCCATCTGGCTGTTGCATCTTGTTGGGAAGGTAGAATTAGAAAGAAATTATAAATATGACTTTGTAGCCAGAAAGGCTAAGGAAGAAATACAAATGATAGCACGGTTTGAATAATTCAAAGAAACCAACCGGGCTGGTATGCCAGAACACATTCTTTCCTGCAATAAAACCAAGCTGAGACCCCTCATCCCAGCCTTATAAGGAAAGGTCTGAAGGACCCTGAGATAACTAAAAATATGCAAAAATAGCGATTTCTATAGGTTGTACACAAATGTTACTATATTAGTATACTTAGAAAGATTGGTTAGTTAAGGAATAGAATATTCAAAGGTATAGGTTATATAAGTAGTGGTATAGAAGAGCTCGGTCTCTTTTTTCTCTCTTTTTTTGCTCTTTGCTCTCTCTTTTTGCTCTTTTCACTCTCTTTTTTCTGTCTTGCTTGCTCTTTTTTTCCGTCTCTCTTGCCCTCTCTCTTGCCCTCTCTTGTTCTCTCTCTACCTCTCTACCCCACGCCCTGAAATAAACTTCTAACACTTAACTCGATTATAGAGGTCTCTGCCGTGTCTCTGACCGTCCCCAGAAAGCGTCTCCTACAGCATCTCTTCCCTGATGACTGGAGGTGTCATGGGCCCACCAAGTCAGAAGTAATTCACCCTTCTGTTGCCAGTCCAGATCCTCCTGAGTCATTTTAATCTTGGCAGCTCAATCCACCCACACATTATTGCAATGTTCTCCAGCAGCCCAACTCTTGGGCATATGTGGGTCTCATGAGGTACTTTGACACAACTTCTCTATTCAGGCAGTGACATCTTGCCACAGCTCATCAGTTCAGGTGGGTTTGTCTCTGCACCCCCACTTAGTCTTTTTCCATTGTTCCAGGCACCTCCACAGAGCATTTGCCACCATCCACAAGGTAGAGGTAGAGCACTGGCCACTTCTCTCATTCAGTGATATCTGAAGCCAGCTGGGCAGCTTTCAGCTCTGCAACATGACTTGTCCCACCTTGTCACTCACTTGCTTCTGCAGCTCTCTTCACAGGCTCCATATAGCTGCTTTCCATTTTCAGTATATTGTATCCCTACAATATGGCAGGAACTGTCAATGAAGAAAGTATATCACTTTTCATTTTCAGGTAGCTGGCTGTGTGGTGGGATCTCCTCAGCACACGTTGCCTTTTCCTCCTCCGATGATGATGGTCTGAAACTTTCATCTTGGAAGCAGTTAATTCCAAGATCCCTGGGTGACTGAGGTTCAAAATCTTGTTGTTCAGGACCCTACTTGCAATAATTTTTCTTTTGTGTCACATGATAGAGAGGATTTATAATCTGACTGTAGTCTGGAATATGCATCTTCCAAAAACCCTTAGCGCCTAGGAATGTCTGTGTTTCCTTTTTGCAGGTCAGTGATGATTGTCTTGGTTTAAGATAGTGTTATAAATGAAATCAGCCAAATTTTATCAATAAGGATTTTATTTTGCAAAAAAATTTGCAAAATCAAATTTCAGAACAGCCACAATCAAAGTCAGCATCGAGCCCGGGGTAGGTGCTGGATGAACTCCAAACCAGCCTCTTTTACACTGGTTCCCCCCCAGGTTCGCAAACTGTCCTTTGGAGAGCCAAGTTTTATACAGGTTTTTTTGCCTGAGGCTATGCAATTTCAGTTTTTTTGTCCTTCTTGTGTCGTTACATATTCATATTTCTGCTGCCGGTCTGTTGATGAGATTTCCAAGAACAGAAGAGAGTTTGAGTAGATTTTCGGGATCTGGACATTAAGATGCATGGTCCCGAGGAATTAGATCAAGCATTAATCACCGGGTTGTTGGTAGGCCCATCTTGCCTGGGTGGACCCATCTTCTCTTGGTGTTTTCTTTGCTCTCTTGCAAATTACTCCTCTTTCTGGGTCCCGGGCAGCAGCTTTTGCAATCCCAAGTCATTTGTGTTTTATACATGAAAAAAAATGCTTTATACCTGATTTTATACATGTACAATAAAACGCGAATTATACCAACATGTATTACAGGTAATTTAAGGGGAACGCTCTAGAATGAGTTAGTTTTAATCAATCCCCTTCCACCAATATGGAGAAATGAATACAAGTAGTTGTTGCAAGTGAAAAAATAATAGTTTACTAAAAAACCGAAATAGCAATAGGTAAAAAATAATAGTAATAGTTACTAGTTGGATAATTACAAAGTTGGTGAAATCTCATGAACCCCCCCAGCAACAAAGAGAAACTCAAAATGGCAGCATATGCCCTTCCCCAAAAGGGCACCAGGCATGGGCAAGCACTGTAGGGAAACAGAGGGCAGGTGGTGGCTGCCCTCCCCACGCTGGGGTCAGGCAGGGGCTCCACTGGCAAACGCAGCTGTCAGACTGGCAGCGGGCACTCGGCTAGGGTGCGGGACTCGTGCGGGGCGCTGGCCATCCTGTCGGCAGCAGAGGCAGTGCGGCTGGCTGGGCGCCTCGCACTCCCGCCTTTCCGCCTCAGCCAGGCGCTGCTGCTGGGCTGCAGGGGCTGCGCCGAGCCCGGCGCTCTGCTCCTCGGGGCCTGCAGCCAGCTGCTGAAAAATTCACTCTGAAACAGTTCTCGATTGTGACACGCAGCCTCTTGAGTTGCTACTGTTGCAAGTAGAGGCAAGAAAAAGCCAGAAGGCAAACCAAGCGGCCAGAGAGAGCCAAGAGGGAAACTCTGCCTCGGCGCCTTGACTGTTAAAGGTCCTGGGACAGCCCCAGCCCTTTCGTTCTGTTTGCAGCCCCAGGATCTCATAGAGACAGTAATGATTTTTGGGCACAGAGAGGTATGGAATACAGTAGTAACATTTTGGGTTATCCAGGACAGTGACATAGCTGCTGCATTGCTAACCGTGTCCATTGGACTCTAATGATGCCCATTTGCCGTTTTACTCCTAAATACTGAATTTTAAATGCTGAATTTTCTGGGCAAGTCCCTTGACTTTGCTTTATGGCAAAACTAGCCTTCAGGAGGATTTGGCTTATCTTCTCCCCTTTCTCTCTCTTTTTTTTCCCTTTGCTGTGTTTCCCCCATACTGTGATGCCATCACTGTACTGCAAGTGTTCTGGAGCCGCTCCCTTTCCCAGTGCAGTCTGGATCAGTCCATGGCAAATAGCAGGGCTATGTTTCCACCCCTGGGGCAGTCAGTTCCAAGTGCACAGCCCTCCAGCTGAAACCAAACTGTGGCCTGACTAAACCTGTGCTGCTAAAGGAATGGGAAAAAACACATTAGCAGTGTCAGTGGTGGCACCACTTTGCTGCCTTGGGCTCCAGTCCGTACTGAAGTTCCAGCACACCCAGCACAGCAGCGCTCAGAGGTGGCGTGACGTCATTCAGGCCACGACAGTCCACTCTGAGTTTCCATTCTCCACTGGACTTACACACTCACCATACAGGGCTGATAAAGGGTGAGCAAGGCTTGCTGACCACTCCCTGGGTGCCCAGCTCACAAATCCTCTCATGGGTGGGGACCACAGAGTCCCAGCTGGTGCAGTGATGTGGTAGGGATCAGTACCTGTTCTTCAACCCTCAGCAGTCCCACAGCAGAAGGGTCCTATGAGAAACCAGGCAAGGCATTCAGCTCTCTAATTTCCTCTGTCTTCACAGTGGCCATCCCAAAAGCCTAACAATGACCTTTTGGGTCTCTGATTACCCCTCCTGAGGTAATCTATGCCAAGGATCCATGTAGCTTCTGGGCCAGTCACAGAGGGGTGTTTTTGCCATTCACTCCCAGCCAGGCTCACTCAAGCTTCCAGTAGAGTCAGCTTTTGGGATTCCCTTGTCACCCCAGAAATAGAGATGGATTCTACCCCTACATGTCTTGATGGCATCAGGGTACTTTGTGCTCTGGTGTCACCCTTGCATGACTGATGTGCCAGGGCATTGGATCCACGCAGTCCAATAGATCTGATTCTCCCTCTCCTCTACCTGGCTGGAGTCAGGGCCCTTCTGGTCATGGTTCACTTCTTGTAGATATAGATGGAGGTCCTTTAAGACAACCAGAAGTTATATCAGCCCTTCTTTTCTGTCTGAGGGAGGACTTGCCTATTGGAAACTGGAGTGGCATTTATCCTTGAAAAAAATTTCCTGTGGTACCTGTTCTTCACTTCAGCTCACATACCCATGCTGTCAGTGCAGAGGTGGGTTTTCCATCACACTTCCTCACATCCTCTCTGATGTGATTCAGGTAAAACCACAGGTTACCTCACAGTTTGTACTCTCTCAAGCTGAGAGGTGCTAGCTGCGAATAGCAGAGACTGTGTTCCAATAATAGTGAGGCATGGGACATTTCCTCTCTAACTTACCTGAGACACCCGCATAGTAGTGAGAGCACCTGGTGAAATCAGGAGGGGAAAAAAAAAAGAGCATTTTAGCACACCCTGAAAATACCATATTCTAGATAATATAATCTGATACATTAATTATTTCTCTTGCATGTTATGTAAGATTATTTAGCACACCCTGAAAATACCATATTCTAGATAATATTATCTGATACATTAATTATTTCTCTTACATGTTATGTAAGATTATTTAGTAATAGGATTTAATAAGCTTATTATTTAGAGATCCCGTGCTCATGTGGTCAGAGATATTTTTCTTTATCAGATTATGAATCTGATCATGCAGCTAAATAGGTGGCTGCATGAGTGGTGACTCATCTGTACCTAGGAACTTTTTTCACAAAGCAGAGTTGCCAATGTGGATACGAAGAAAATATTTGTATAATCACTTTGAAAAAATATTCCTGCTGCGATATATGAAAGCTGTGTTGCAGTGTACTGAAAGCACATCCTCAAAGTTACTGTTTGAACAGGTTTTTGTCTCTTGAAGGTAAAGATAGTTTCAGGAGGAGCAAGTTTGACTTGAACAGAATTTCTCTGGAGGGATGTTACATTGAAAAGTACCAGACACAGCATGCTGATCTGGAAAGAGCATGTTTATACCAGCACAGCAACTCTCAGAGGAATTACACCATTTAGATGTATGATATCAATATAAATTAGCACTTTTCCTAAAAAATGGATAATGTCAGAAAAACTTGAGTTTTCGATTCAGTGGATAAAGCTGTATTCATGAAGACTGCACAAAATCAGTTTGAGAACTTGCTGTTTTAACAGGAGTGCATTCTGGGCTAGATTTTTTTTCAGTAATTTTTATGTGATGCTGATATACTGTTTCTTGCAATGTGGATGCATCAGCCATCTTGTCATTTTCAGATGTAGCCCACTGCCTCCTCAGTCTCTCTGTGAAGTCATGGTAGCAGTAGCACTGTTGAAATCCTTGCAGTTGTTTCCCGGTCAAATGTTTCAAGCCACATTTAATCAGCAAGTGAGCTACCAGATAAAATACTTTTTTGTATTTTTATTTTCTGAACCTTTTCACAAAAGACTAGAAGCCACATTTTTCCTGCTGAAACAATTTTCTGGTCACACAAATTTTTCTGAGGGCACATTGTATTCTTAGTTTACAAGTAAGCTAATTTTCTAATTTAAACTACAGTACTTTTTTTCCTCCTATAAATCATCCTGTTAATTCTACTTTAAATTATCCTTTTCTGATGTCACAGTGATGATGGCATTAGCCTGAGAAAGTAGTCTGTGCCATTCTAGCATGGTAGAATGAAACTGGTGGGGGCAATCAATATTTTGTTTTCTGTTCAATGGGAATTGTAGAAAGATACAAAACTGCAATTGTATACTGTTGAAGTTAGCTGTATCTTGTAGGAGAAAATTCCTTCTCTGTGTAGCTACTGGTGTCCATGTAGATATGAATATATAAATGTCAAGGTGTATGTGTGATGTAATATTCAGTAACTGAGATTCTAGAAAGGAGATGTTGGAAAATGACTTGGCTGCATTAGTCGTCAATTTCCTCTGCTTTACAGGAGCTCTTCCGAAGTTCATTTACAGCAAAGATTTTTATTCCTGCATTTTCCATTTTTTTAAATTTTTGCCTTCCAGTATCCAAGGACTGTTGAAAAGCCAACAAAATGGTATCAATTCAGTGTTCACCTTAGGTGAAACCACCTTCTTGGTTTATCAATACTGGTTGTTTCTGCATAAGAGTAGCACAGAGGAGCTTAAGTTACAGGCAACCTATGCAAAGGAAAAGTTCATTTTTATAGTTTTTCACTGAGTTATGAAATACCATTAGTAGCAATCACAGCCAGAACAATTTTAAAATAGTTCCCGTTTCAATGTAAAATGAAAGAGTTGTTTGCTGCAAAAATATTCTCTTGTTTTCTAGGCTGTCTATGATTCTGCATGTTCATTGTGTGCTTGGGATCTGGTGTGACTTGAGTAAGAGCTGATATAAATCATTGCTTAAGTCCAGCATATTTGGTCTGTATTCACCCAATTCGTAGAAAATGCTACCTCCTTCTCCAGTTTTTCAAAATTCAGTTCTATTTAATCCTGCTGCTGCAAGAATAAGGGATCCTTATATGACATGTATAACTGCTTATTCCCAATCATAACTGTTGTATACGACAGATCCGTTAGCAGTCTCTGAAAGATAGTCTTCCTGAGTAAAGGTGGACATGCAGGAAGGACTAATCTCTAAATTTCTATTGTGAAGGGATTCAAGTATGACAGCCAGTGTCACGTGGACAGCAAATAGGATATAGATGGAGGCTAATGCAGTCATTTCCGTTTTAAATTTGGTGTGACACCCTATCATCTGTGTAAGTAAGCTTTTCAAGTATGGAGGAGCACAGTAGGCAACCAAATGTTCTTAAAACATCTTTTCTCCCATCCCTTTCTTTGCTTTGTTCCTTCCTCTTTCACAGCTCCCCTTTTCTTTTCCTCTTCCTCCTCTCTCTCTTCCCTGCTCTCTCCCACTCCCAGCAAAAATTCCAGCTCTGGTTATGAGCTAAATCTTACTGACACATCTATAAGCAAAGATAAGAGTTGATTGGTAAGAGACACAGCCAGTGTGCTGTGACCACCACTTGTTAGGTCCACCCTGTTTCTGCCATTGCTTTCTGTCTTCTGCATGCTATCTGTAAGGGCAAGTTGGCTCTTACCTGACACTGCAGTGCTATCATCTTAAGAGTAGGTGAAGTTAGGATGCGCACAGCAGTCAGCACCAGGGAACATCGGATGTTGGCTTCACAAGGTACATCACCATAAGTCAGTTAACTGAGATGAAAAACAATTCCTCTTGAATTTCCTTCACTGCTGTGCAGCCACTAACAAGAAAACAAGAGTTTGAACACACAGTATGTTTGTGTGTTTGAGGATTTTCATCCCAAATCAGCCTCAAGATCTGTAGGTCTGAAAATGTCTGTCATAACTTTTTTCCCCTTATTTTTTTCTAAACATTTTACAGTAAAGGAAGTACTTCAAGGAAGTCCTTTAAAGGACTTAAGGTATAAATATGTTTAATTGTTTCTATGGTCCAGTGTTTCCCGTAACTACTTCTGTGGGAAAGCACAGTCTAATCTGTTAACTGATCCAAGGAAATACTGTTTAAGTAGTTTCATTTATTTGTGTTTGCCAGTAACATAATTTTTTGTTCATTCCCTTTGAACTATGTTCTGTTCTTTCTTCATTTAACTACATTCAGTTCAAGAGTTAATTTGTAGACACTTTCAGAATTACCATTTAGTAGAAAAATCTATTGTGGCTTTACAAAGTAAAAGTGTGCTGTTTATACTAGTTTCAAGTAGACCTGTTGTGTGAAATGAAAAACTACAGTCAGATTTTCTTTTGTGATATCTCAGTTTAAAAAGTTCTTCTTTGTCTAATGCTTCGTAGTGATGTTGCTTCTATTTAAAGCATTGAGTTTGATCTTGGCTTTGATCTAAAGCTTTTGATCTTGAAAGAAGGATGTTGTGGCTGTAAAACAAAAAGGCTAGGAGAGATTTTTTTTTTTGCAAGTGATAAAGGCATACTCTCAAGATTTAATAGTCACTTATTGGATCTTTATTTACTTAAATGTCTTTACAAAGTACATCTAATTCTATATATTGAGGATTTGCTTACACACATGCTTTAATGCTCCCTATTTAGCTAGAGCTGAGATTTCCTTTTGAAGCTTTCACAGAATATAGCAATATATGAGTATAAATAATTTTCTAAAGAGTATGAATAATTTCTAAAATACTGACAATACTTTAGTAACATCATTTTAACTATAACAAGTATGATGCACTCTATCCTTTGCTGCCTCTTGTTTTTTAAGTAAAAACACAAAAGCACTTGATAAAATCCTAACTTAGGAATTAATAGTATTTGGATTTTGCATAGTTGACATAAGAAGGGCACAAGAGTACCTGATGAAGTCCCACACCTTAATTTAATGACCTGCTCACAGCATGTTGTTGAATAAATAAAGCCTGTAGCCAAGGCATCGATAATGGGCTTGGTGTGGTACGGTATACCTACAAAGCTGCTTTGGATCTTGCTTTTAAGGTGCATTTCAGACCCTCCAAGGTAGTGTAGTTGCTGGATTCTGGAAGCGGGAGCAAGTACCAAGGCCAGTGCTGTAGCAGTTGGTGGCGATCATCCTTCAACTATCTATCACTAGGCCGTTCCTCTGTCCGTGAAGACCTGTGACAGAGCATGTTCATAGTCAGGGTCTCGAAGAGAGAGCCTGTGTCTAATAATGAGGCTGTAAACCGTGACGAGCATGGATGTGGAGGCTATGAATGGCCCTCCCGTCGGCGCGGAGGGAGGGAGCGCGGTCGGGCCGGGCCGGGCCGGGCGGGCCGTGCTGTGCTCCGCACCTGCGGGGCGGGGCGAATGGTGCCGAGCCGAGCCGAG